AGACTTAGCTGAGAGAAAAAAGGAAGTTTGTTGCATGATTGCATGTCTCCTTGGGTGTTTCCTTTTGCTTCTCTTCCTCAGCCTTGGCTGCTGTTGTACCTGAGGAGGGCGGAAGAGCTATGGCAAATCCTGACACCACCGACAACTCCAGCATCGTCTCCTTTACCACCGCAATTGTCGGTTGATGTGGTGTCTGATCTTATTTTGTTGGATGCAGTTCCAGAGATTCTTCCACCTCCTATCGGTTTTGTTTCGGGATCTGAACCTGCTGTTGAAGAAGCTCAAAGTTCTGTGATTAATGTCAGTTCTGATGACTTTGTTTCAGTCAATGAAGAATAGGCGTGTAACCTGTTAGGAACTGAAAAATAAATAACTTTGTACAGAGAGAATTCCTGTCTATTTTTATTTCTTTTTCAGCTGGTACTCAGGGAAAGAATTCCGGTGGAAGGGTTCATGCGGATTCTGGGATACTTTGGTGCGGGTCGGGAAGGGATGGATTCCGTAACTAATTCGACACGCGCCGACATATCATTTAAATCAATTGCTTCTAAACGCCTTCTTCTCTGTAAAACATATTGTATCCTCGCATAGCAGAAATATACAATCGCGACAAGAATAATCGTTAATAATATAATCAAAACAATGAGATAAATATAACCGTTATCCCAAAAATGCAGTTGTAATTCACTAATGTCCTCAATAATTGATTTAATTCCTGGGACATTAGCCGGGATCTCATTAATTGCATTTATCTCAATGTTTTCCAGTTTTGGGGTCATTTTGCAAAATGGCCCGTTAATCACGGTATAACAACAATTAGGTCTCAATTGAATAATACCTGAATATGGCAACTCGTAGGTGTTTTCGTATGCTTGAGCATTAGTTTCAGAACAATACTGCGTAATACGCCCTTTGTCTGAATCAATAAAAGCAAATTCGTTGGCATCTAATTGTATTACCGTATTCTCTGGTACTTTAGTTTTGATCAGAGGACATTTACTTTTAATTGTAGACTCCAAGTCTCCATTCTGAATTGATTTAACACAATCATTAGCTTCGTAGACTGGAGGTCTAGGAAATTTGCAAAGTTTGCATAAGGCATGGCAGTTTTGCGGTAAACATAAGGGTAATTCACTTGCCTGTAAAGCGAACATTTTAGCACCTTGAGTAAGCAAATAAGGTTCTGACAAGTTTACCTTATGCCACTTGGGCGCTCCCATGTACGTATCTTCCGCAATCGGCACACTATGAATTTTAAATAATTCTAAAAGCTCCGGTTGCCTAATTACTGGTACAATTGTTGTTATCCTGTAATTACATGTTTCATTCGTTCCACACCCGTCCATCGCTCCAATAGTCAACGGATGCGATTTAATTAGCGTTAGTAATTCCTGCACGGGTAAGACATATATAGGCGGCTTGTTTTCAGCCTCTAATACCTTACCTAGCACGGCATTCACATATTCGTCATAGTACAAAAAATTGGGAAATTGGAAATTATGTATCCAATCGATATCTTGTAGTAAGGACGATATAACCTCGTTAGCTTGATCTAATTCTAAACCCAAACTCAACGTAAGAAACCATGACTCTGTAGAATTGTACTTGGCCTGTTCCACCCTGCTTGCTAACCCGATACTATTTTTAAAAACTTTGTTTGTAATTACTTGATATTTTAAAGAAGTTAACAACTGGACCCTTTTCTCTTGTGCAACTGTTCCCTTGATCTCTTCTTTTCTTCTTTTCAATATGGGAAGCATTCCCGTAAACGTCGCATCTCTAGGGAAGTTTCTAGGCTCAGTTTGAATTCTATGTTTCAGGTTTTTAATTCTATTGTCCAAATCCGTATTTTTAGCTTTTAACAAACTAAACAGAGCGCTGTCTATTGTTTCGCTGGGTGGAACATTGGTTTCTACGTGATTAAAGATTTTTGTAGTAATTGCGTCAGATTGTTTAACCAATTCTCCTACATCTATCAAGGATTCTAACGTCCAATAACCATTTGGTACACAAATCGGATACATATCTTCCAGAACAACGCCAACGCTACCAGGAAAGTTGCATATGGGGGACGTCTTATCAAATCTATTTAAATTTGATGACGTACCTTTGTCGTTGATGGGGATTTCCTGAATCGTGAGGGAAAATGACACATCCATGATACATATACAAATGTATATTTCCACAATTTTTCTATACACTTCCATAATAATTCTTTATGAACTCAGATAACTGTTTACCCTTTGATGGCGGACTGCGTACTGGTCACTGCGTAATTTTTTCACTCTTTTGGTGACTCAGTCTTTTTTCGGGCCCGCTTGGCCTCAAGCAGTTCGGCCATGAGTGCCTGCTACCTTGTCAGCGGTCGTTGCCATGAAGTTTTCATTTCTTTCGTTGGCCTCGTTCTGGTTGGCAACACATTGTCTGGGTTTAAATGACGTAGCGAGGGGCGATCCATTGGATTTAATTCTAATTTCCTTTTTCCTTTGTCGTCCTTCTCTTTCTCTATTTTGTCATCATCCTCTGCTGCTTCACCTTCCTCTTCTTTGTCTCTAGACTGGGTGGACGGCCTTCTATCCTTTTTCTTGCTGTCTCTCTTTTCCTTGAACTTTTTCCATTTCTCTTTGTTCCTTATCTGCCTTGGGGTTAATGCACTTCTATCCTTTTTCTTGCTGTCTCTCTTTTCCTTGAACTTTTTCCATTTCTCCTTGTTCCTTATCTGCCTCGGAGTTAATGCAACTGCTCCTCCTGCTTCTCTTTGCATCGTTCTTTCAGGTGTTCTTTTGGGTGTTCCTTCACTTCTTCCTGCTGTCAGTTGCTTCATCAATTCCGGTGTACTAGAGGCAGGTGGCGGACCTTTCTGAAGGACAGTTTTGGACAGGCTTGGTAGAGTATCCGTGGTGGTATCGAAAAATCTTCCTATTTTGTCAGTGACTTCTCTGAATATTTCTTTAGTCTTTTGGAATAGACCTGTTTTTCTTTCGGGTGACGCTGGTATTACTGTTGCATCTAAATCAGGCACTGATACGAAGGAATCTTCTTGCTTGGATTGCGAAGCTGATGAATCCGGTTTTTCTCTGGATTCTTTCTGCCTTTTCAAAATAGACTTGATAGCCTGTTTATCCGCAGGATGTTTATGGATTTTAGAACCAAGGGTTTTTCTCCTCTGTTCTCCTCTTGTGGTTGTTGTGGCTACAGCAGTTTCTTCTTCATCCGTTTCCCACTGTTTTTCTTCGGTAATCTGAGGGAAATCCCATTTCCATTTTGGGGCCTCTCCATCTTGGTCATCGTCCAGCACTTCAAGTATATCTTTTTCTTCTGAAGGTGTTGGCGAGGGAACTGGTGAGGAAACTGCTCCTTCTATATCTCTTTGCATTGTTCTTTCAGGTGTTCTTTCGGGTGTTCTTTCACCTCTTCCTGCTGTTAGTTGCTTCATCAATTCTGGTGTGCTAGAGGCAGGTGGCGGACCTTTCTGAAGGACAGTTTCGGACAGGCTCGGTAGAGTATCCGTGGTGGTATCGAAAAATCTTCCTATTTCGTCAGTGACTTCCCCGAATATTTCTTTTGTCTTTTGAAATAAACCTGTCTTTCTTTCTGGTGACGCTGCTATTACTGTTGCGTCTAAATCGGGCACTGATACGAAGGAATCTTCTTGCTCGGATTGCGAAGCGGATGAATCCTGTTTCTCTCTGGATTCTTTCTGCCTTTTCAGGATATACTTAATAGCCTGTTTATCCACAGGGTGTTTGTGGATTTTAGACCCAAGAGTCTTTCTCTTTGGTTCTCCTCCTGTGGTTGTTGTGGCTAAAGCAGTTTCCTCTTCTTCATCCGTTTCCCACTGTTTTTCTTCGTTACTCTGAGGACCCTCCCATTTCCATTTTGGGGCCTCTTCTTCTTGGTCATTGTCCAGCACTTCGAGTATGTCTTTTTCTTCTGAAGGTGTTGGCGAGGGAACTGGTGAGGACTGTCGTATCTTGTACGGTCGTACATAACTTATGTGGATTACGTCCGTCCACTCCGGATTTTCATCATCTTGCACCCTGATTACTTCAGGGTTAATTCTGTCGATGACGGTATATGGTCCTTCATATTTCGGAGACCATTTTCTGCCTACAAATGTAGCAGCGTCATGGCGTCGTATCCAGACCTTGTCGCCGATTTCATAGTTGGCGCCTTTCTTGTGGATGTTTATCCTGTCTAAATACGATGCTTGGTTTTTCCTGATGGCCTTTTGGGCACGACCGCGTATTACCTCAAATTCTTCTTTTCTGCTCTCATTTTTAATCTCGTCAAGCTGCGCTTTGTCTATGTACATTGGAACCCAGTAATTGCGAGGCTTCATGCCTGTAACTACTTCAAAAGGCAAAGCCTGTAAGGCCTCGTGTTTTGACGAGTTATGCACCCATGCGGCTGTTACGAAGTACTATTTTTCGTGGTTGTTAATATGACTACAATACAGTAATGCAATTCAATAACTTTTTGTGGAGGTTCATCGCGTCTGAAACTGACATTCAACAGAAAGCATATTTATTCATAAAATGTATCTGATATGTTCATAAAATATATCAGTGTCATACGGTTTTTGAAGGTGTTTAATACCTTCCTTGAATTATGTGAGTGATTTCCTTCGTTACGACAGAAGCATGAGATTGAATCGAAGAACCAGAAATTAAAACATGAAAGCTCATCATGTGCAGATATGGACTCATCCTCATCGCACGAAATTTTTGTTACATCAATAAGGACGTTTTAAATTTAGGAATTTGTTATCTGGCCTCAACATACAATTTAATGGGGTCATTTGCAGGAAACATTTGTAGCGATCACATTTTATAAGTTTTGCTCCTTCACGTGTCGTGGAACTCGTCGTACACCGAAGACAACAATTTAGTATAACGCCATTTCTGAGTGAGGAATCTATAGCAGATCGTTGCTCATTGAGATGTTCCTCTCTATACATAATTAATTTTGATCAATAGAATTTACACAAGTCGAACAGTATGATTGACATAAGATGCGATCTCAATAACAGCCTTCTGTCCAGTTTCTGTTCAACAGAATCGCCTGGTTTGCGAAATTACTCTATATTCGAGTTTATCGATGTATGTGCAAATCTTCAAGCTGACTGGCTAGGTGTCACTCCTTTCGTTTTCAGGTTGACCTGGAATCTCCTGCGGATCCCCTCGATGATGTCCGATCGTCGCGAGCAGCTGCTGGAACTTCGAGCCAATCGAAATCAAACGTAGACAGGAAAACCATAAAAGATTGCTGTACCCCTAGATTCTCGCGAATACAGAAACCCAAGAGGCAAATGTCGGAAGCTGTTCAGAAAAACGTTGAACGGGTCCCGGTCCAAACGCGTGGGTTCGATCCGTGTGGAGAAACAATTGAGACTCCGAAAAATGCATTCGAGCCTGCTGAACCTGGTCTTGGTCAGTTGTGATTCTTGTGAAAAGAATGTAGAATTATTTTTACCTTCTTAATCGCATGGCTGTATATTTTTTTTCAACGGAATTGTTGCTAATGTTCCAGAGGATAAGATTCCGAGTTTGCCACTGTTTTTGGTGGACCAAATAGCGACCCGAGTTTGCCAGACGGTCAATGAGCGGTTGGACAGTCTGGAAAAGCGAATGAATTGCTGTGAGTCCAAATAATTAATTGACAAATTACATTTATAATGTAGGTTCAGCACGTGAAACAAGGATTTCCTGCTGGATATGTGAAGAGTACCAAGTTGAAAGCGTTTGTTCTACGCTGTGGGTTCAAAAATGTATTAGTGCAACTTTATGAAAATCTTCTGCTGATACCAGGCTGAAACTCATCTCGATTCGGAGTTTCGGCGCTCTTATTTTTACATTCTTTATTACCTGTTCGGTCAGTTGGTCGGAATTACTATCCAACACAACCTTCGACGGAGAAAAATTAGTACGCGAAAAGTATCGACTTCTCCTGAAAGGCGTTGCAAAATTTTGATATAATTATCACATGATTGATTTTCATATGAATGTTACCTGAAACAAAAAGTGAAATGAAACTGTGTTGGCTGAAAATCCAGTTGTTCAAAAGACGGCTGAGAACCCTTAAAGCGGTTTTGGCAAGATCTTCACGAAGAAGCTAGTTTGCTATCATTTGTAGAATAGTTGCTGTGTAATCATGCTATCATTGCAGAAGTATCCTAACGTCTTCGATGTCGAGATGAGAAGTTTCCTAAATCTTCCATTTGTTCTTCAACTTAATGCGCTCTCAGTACAGGTATAAAAGCTCTTCGAAAAACTGTAATATAGAAGTCGAAATTAAATCACTGTTACGATGATTCTCATTCAACGATCATAATTCATTTACTAGTGTCGACGATTTGTTCATGACTGGCAATCCTGTAATTGGGAGAAAACCCTTGTATTTTAAATATACATGTCGATACTCGACAGTTCCAGATCTTATTTCATTATGATATTACAGATTACTCTGAAAAATGTTGCCGTACTCAGAAGGAAAATGATTATAAATCCTCATTATGCCGAACTCGCATGTACTGTACAGTACTGTATTCCGAATTATTGCTTTCAGTTGACCCACCGAAGCAGACTGTTTGTGAAAAGCCGAAGAAACAAAGGCCCTGCAAGTCGACGAAAGAAGAGTTCATTCCAATATCATGTCCCCTGAAAATTCCGAAGACTTCGAAGAAGTATCGAAAAATATGTGACGACATGTGAAGGGATTCAAGTTATAGAGAAGCAGTTTTCTTCTCCCAATTCTTTGATGATCAAAGGAACTTGACAGTATTGCTATGGCCGTTTTCATTGCCCTGTTATTTTTCTTTCGTGGAGGCCTCAAAAAGGGACGAGATTAAAGTACTGTATTTTGAAAATGGGATTTTAGTTTACTTTTCATGCCTTAAATATACAACATAAGGTTTGAAGTTTATGCATAGCCAGCCAGTTTCAAGAACCTATGCTGAATCATAAATGCCTCAACTATGAGTTATCCTAAACGACTCAAAAATGACGCCAGCTTATTTTATTCCTAGATGTCGCTGACACGCTTGCCTATCACTTTGTCTGTGTGTGTCAGTTGGTCAATGAGTAATATATTAGAACATAAGCGTTCATGCTTCGTCAATCTGCTCCTGTCCTACGATGGTCTGTTGGCTGTTTCTCACGCTTTCTTTGTGTTAGGTTTTCCACTTCTTCTGCAGAAAAGAATTCCTTTCTTCCCCTTTTCTCACAGCAATTGACGTTTTGTGTCAGATTTGCGCTGTTCAAATGGAAGATATACTTCAGATCATATGACTCACATTCAGAACTACATTGTGGGCGTCATGAAATCAGTGCAAACACTTCTAAATTTCTCATTTCTTGCATTCACAATTCTTGTGGGACTGATTTCTCCATGTGGTGAGTGATGCAACTCGTCAATAAGGAAAAAAAGGACGAAGTGTTTCTGAATTTGAAAGAAAAATATTCATGTGAAACAATCATTTTGATTTTATTTATTTTTCATCATCAATTATTGAAACAGGGAAAACGTGAATTTGAATTGAGCATATATCTTAATGTTTGCAGTGGAGTCCCACTGCGGAAGCAAGTGTTCCTTCAACACATACTGCGCCAAATCAGCAATGGGAGATGGCTGTACAAGATGTTGCTGGAATCGATTTTTGTTCATTGGGCAATGCGTGAATCCGGAAAATCCTCATTCTTGCTGGTGGTGACGATAAAAGTTGAAATTACTTTTTTCTTATACTTCGGAATTTGTTTGTGAGGAACAGCAAGGGTTTTGCATTCTTTTTAAAATCTAGAATAAATAAGGAAGTTTACTTGATGTGGCAACGGCGATTTTCTACCCACTTCGGACCTGAGTTCTCCATCCGAAGCTTGATGAGTGTTTGATGTATTTTGAAATACTGTATTAGGAAATTCATCATTTATAACCCATGTTCAAGCGATGTCATTTTAGAATTTAACTGTTCGATGAAAGAAGTAAAAAGGGCAACAAAATATCTTTCCTCATTGAATGTGTACATGATTTCGAGGAACACTAACAGAGGCCATTAAGAACATTTTTAAGCTCGGAAAACATTCAACATTTCGATTTTCAACATTTTCCTGGCGGAAAAGTAATAAGTTTGTCTTATTTTCTTCTTCTGAAGTGTAGGAATAAATACGTAATGCTAAAATTAATTCATGCACATGAAATTTGATGACGAGAACCGATCGACGATGAGCAGTTTCCTGCCTGCATGACGTCCATTTCCCTGCTGTCTCTAATTATTTTTTAGAGTTGTTCAATCGCATTTTAATCCGCTTTTTGCTTGATTTAAATTTCCTTTGTCAACTCATCGTGTTAAAAAGCCCAGCTCTGCATCAACGCCGATCAGCAGGAATTCCAAGCATTCACGCTGGAAATATCATCAAACGCATACTGTGATTCAATCGAACAAGCGAAACCTGATGAAAAATAAAATCCGTTATACGAGGCGTTATATAACATGAACATTTTATACAAAATCTTTTACTTCGTTGCCTCTCATAAAAATAACAGCAAAGATAAATCACGATGAGATGCATTCACGTGGAGTTGATCGCCTTCTCTGATGGAACGTGGGTTCATTCAAAAGGTTTTCAGCACTGTATCGTTATTCAATTTTATTTCAGTGGAATGATTCAGACTGAAACATAGGCAATGTCCACACCAAATTTTGTTCATCTGTTTTGCAATTAAGAAAAGACTGAGTGGGTTGTTCACCTGATCACAGTTTTGAGTGAAATTTAAATCATGTCTCACAATTTTTTCTTTCTTATTTTTGGCTGGTTTCTGATGGATAAAAAATATTAAGGCTTCTTTATGGTGAAATCGTAGGGATAATATTATGCATCTGAAAAGCATGTTCACGACGAGAAAAAAGTTCCGAAGTTGTGAATTTCGTTCTCGTGATGTTCAATGTTAAGGGGTTGAATTGTGATTATGATGCATTACAATGCGATTACTTAGTTTCCTGTTGAACAACATGAATTCCCCCTTCTGCTTTTTCAAGACCACTCAGTAATTTCTTTAATCCCTCATGTCTTAGATTTTGATTCATTTCTCAACTTGGGCATGATTTACGTTTCCAAAACCCAATCTTCCTTTGCAAAGTACCAATTGTTTGGCAAAAAGTCCTTCAGGTCCGACACGCAGTTGCAGAAAAGGTATGGCGTTAAATAAAATGAAAGGTTGCTTTTAGCCTTTTTTGTAGAGTATTCAGAAATTTGCGCACCCCGAAAGAAAATACAATACTGTACAATATAATACACGATTACACACACACCCTCTCTCTCTTTTCAATTATCTTGTTTACATTGATTTTCTCTGTACAACGATTTTTGTGGTCTCACAGCAGGGGTTTCTCCCCCAAGTTATAGGGGTACTCCACAATTCTGCAAAAAAATTCTCTCTGCAACGAAATTCGGTCACTTGAAAATTATTTTATAGAGAGAGTTGACCTCTATTTTTTTGTGCAACACAGACGAAAACTTTCAAGCACCCCTCATCGTCCCTCTGTTGCGTTGGCTCTTACATTTAGCGAATGAAGGCTAAAACGGCAGATTGAAAAGAATAAAAAAAAAACTCTACAAAATAAAAAGCTTGGGTGGAGGAACTCTAGTCTAGGCAATCTGCTTCAATCCATTGGTTATTAGCTCAGCTTGAGTCCAGTCAGGAACATTGCCCTCGCAGACTCCAATTCAAGCCCCCCATTGAAATTATACGCGCAGCTCGACCGCAAAAGGGTATTGCCCTCATTCCAAGTTGAGCTCCATTACCTTCTTCTGTTCTTCCGGAGCTTCATCAGCATCTCTGGTGTGTGGGTGTCACGTTTTCAAGCCCCTAGCTGATTTACTACACATTCAAAAGACGGATTTCGATGAACAACAACAGCAAAAAAAAAAGAAAGAAGGTTCGCGGTCAAGTTTTACTCGGATGCTGGACCCGGATCCGAAACCTGCGCCGTTTATAATAAGAAGCCGTGAAGAGAATTGGGTTCCGGACAGGTAATGCATCAAGATGATGATGCAAACCCCGAGATGATTTTGAAACGAAAAAAGGGATGATCATGGCACTATTCAAAATCATCTACTGTAAGTGAAGGCGAATTACCATTTATTTTGCTGCGAAGGGATGAAAGAGGGATTATTAATCTTCTCATTTTTTTCAGTGGAAAAGCCGAGGGTGGACCAACCTATGATGAATTGAAATTTAAACGACTGAATTTTCTGAAAGTTTTGAAGCATTAAAATTCTATGTAGCGATTATTTGAAGTTATTTTATTTACAAAAATCATCTTTTGAAGAAAAAATAATGCATTTTAAAGATATTGTTTTTATTGCATTGTTATGATTAGGGCATCCGTTCTAGACGCATTTTTACGGAGAACAAATTGGAAGATATTTAAAAAAGGCGTTGAAGCAGTTATTCGTATAATAAAGCAGTGTTCCCCAACCTGTGGTCTGCAGATTGGCACTAGTCTGCAGACGTTTTCTGCCAGTCTAGCTGTCGGAAATTTTCAGCATAATGCGGTACATTTATCAAAAGTTGGGATGAAGTCTGTTCTCTCTAGATAAAATGTTGGAAGAACAGTGGCAGTTGAATTGTGTGATGTAAACAAAAATTGGCTTCCCTCCTATTAACACTTCAGAGAAATTTTCACCTGCTGAATTCAACTATTTCAATTTTTCGTTCTGAAAAACCGTTAATTCTTCAAGCCCAGCTTTTTAATGGTTTGATGACATTTTTAACCAAGTTATTTTTATGGCAAATACCTGCATAACAACATTCAAGCACAACTTTGGTGAGTCTGCAGACATTTTTATGAAACTTTGCCGGGGTCTGTAGAAAATATTTTGAGAATTTTCCAGTCCGCAAACATTTTTTGGGAATTCGCCGGTTTGCAAACATGTTTTTGAAATTTGCTGGTCTGCAGACCGAAAACCGTTGGGGAGCACTAGGCTGAAAGTGTCTTTCCAACTGTCAGTTTTGAAAAACTTGGCCATTGTTTGGGATTATATTTTATGCTCACATGAGAATGCTTCAAAAATGTTCTTCAAACTATCCTCAGGTAAAAAAAAAAAACGACAAAAGAAAGATTTCGGTGGTGGCAGAATTGATTTATTTTCTTTCTCACAGTTCAGCGCATTCTTTATGGAGAAAAATTTAATGATTCTGCTTCTGATTTCATTCACTTTTCCAAACTTATGAATCAATGAATGCTAAAAATTTGTCCATGAAACTGTTTCGGCGTTTTTTTTCACCTCTGCCGAAAGCAAGAAGAACTGATATAAGAAAGTTGAAGTATGCTATCACTGAAAACTTAATTTTTTTCTTTGCCATCCTGTGGAAAGAGGAAGAAAGCATTGGCTCCTCAACAACGATCTAGTCTACAACGATGTTCTCTGCGTAAATAATTTTTCCGATTCCATAAGGTTCTCTATCTATAGTTCCCAATGTTTTACGAGTTCTCTACAAGATTCTCTCTACAGCAAAATTTTATGATCCCTTGAATTTTGTTTGAGAGAGAGAGAGCCAACCAATACAAAGCAAGGCTGAAGAATCCTACCAACGATGTGCAACTGGAAAACCTTATATAAGACCCACGTGAACCCTGAGAACAAGATACTTCATATTGCTGTGTTTATTATATTCCATGAGTCATGACTCATGGTAGATAATAATGGAACATAATTTCTCTTATCTCTCTCTCTCTGCATAAATTTTTGGGGGCAAAAAAATGCCAAGAAAATATGAAGTCATGATCTTTAAATAATCACGTTAATCTCCATCAGCAGTCAAGAGTTCTCGTCTCATCCTGCCAAAGAAAAGCGCAATGCAAAACATTATGAACCAACCCGTTTACTCGATTTACAATCTCAAGAAATGGACCATCATGGAATGAATAAACGTCGTGATAGGCAAGAAAACTAATTTCCCGAGAGGACAACGTCGTCACGGAGACAAGGATCGTTGCCACGCCTCAAAGAATTCCTCTAAACTATATACAGTAGTTAAATATCGTGGGTCAAATAAGAAACGTGAGGAAAATAAATGAAAAGAAAAAGAAACAGTCGACGGATGTGTTTTTTGTTCTTTGTCTCACCTGTACTGCGCATTAAAATGGCCGATTCGTGGAAAATACGTCGAGACAATTTCGTAGCGAATGTCGTGACGAAACTTTGTTTTGTCGAACCCGGAAACGTCGTCAGTCTCGACAGGTCGTGAAAATCAAATTTTTTCCCCCGCTAATTCAAGGACTTGTCTGATAATTCATCTGATTTCCGTCGCGCGGGAAATTAATTAAAAACGGTAAAGAATTTCAATGCATCGCATCCAGAAAATATGCGGAAAAACTGAGTTTCAGCTATAATAACTGGATCCTTAATTAGGAAATAAACCTTGACCGCTCATAGTGGCACTGAATGTCAGTTCAAAATCCTTTTCAAAACGAACTAAATGCCGATTACGATCTCTTCGTAACCAAACGCGTGAAAGTATTCGTAGTATTTTTATAGCAACAATGTGTTTGGTAAATGTCGAGAATCTTTGGCTGCAAATACAGTATCCGGAAGCCGATATTAATGTCAATTTATTTTCTGACGTTGAAGTCATATTCTTAATCCACGCAATCCAGATTTCAATGTAATTTAAATTTTCAAGTTCTTTGATTGAAGATAGTGCAGTTGATGAAATTAACTTCAGTCTAAGTAAAAAGGACGCGTTTGAAAAATCGATGCGTTTACAAATCGATGTGCTGTACAGTAAATTTTATAGATTTATGCGACTATGACTTAAAAGGAGTATTTCGAAAGAAAAATCACACTCAAACACGAATATTTTTTTCATTAACACAGGAACCCACACACGAGTATTCATAAATATTGTGAAACATCAGGAGGATTATTAATAGAGCAATGTTCGATTCTTTTTACCGGTTCGAACGTTAAAATGCTGCTTGATGCATCTTTAAAATTACAAAAATATTATATTAGGTTAATTATAGGTGTCCGTTCGGCTTTCACGGGAAAAGCACGAGTGAAAGACACGAAATTTCAGATCTTTAGAACTAATTTTGGGTAAATGTGTGGCCAAAAATCAAGTAAAAATGACAATCATCAAATCTATTGATACACTGTGTCCATAATTGAATTGAATGAAACATGGATTTATGATAGAAAACGAATGCTCATTTTTTTAATCCTGCGCACTAGAATCACTAATAATTTTTCTCAAGAAAAACAGACGTACAATTATTCGTTTAATTGGCTCATTAATTCAGCAAAGAGTGCGTTACTCCGCCGAAACCGCGGGTCCGGAACGAGGAAAAGAATCAATTCAATTTTTTATAATTACTGTAATGGTCTCTTTTTGCGTGTGTGTTCGTATGTCGTCTGATCGTGACTCGATTTTCTTCTTTAGTTTCGCCTTCTATTTTTAGTTCCCGGATTGGACATACGAGATTTTCATCAGGTGCGCAGTTTCCGCCCGAGTGGCGTGCACGCGGGTTGCGGGCGCAGATATTTAAACCCCTGGTGTAGGCCTGGACGAGGCATCATTCCTTGCTCAACTGGCCTGAAAAGTTGATCAGAAAAAAAAACAGTTTCGGTAAAGAACGACTTTTTTGACCGAGTGTCTTTCGAGAGTTTAAGCAAGATGAAATACGCATTGGTGAGTTTAAGACTCTTCTGTATTCAGTTATTGGAATAAAATTGAAATGGGACTCGTTCCAGACTGAGATTTTCCGATAAGAAATCCACCTTTAAAAAAAACTCGTTTGTCTCTGCAGAACTCTTCTGACACATTCGCATAAGACACTTCTTTTCAACGATGTACAGTATGTTGAACGGATTGTGGTTGTATTTGTCACCGTGTCAGAGCTGTTACACAAGCAAAAGATTCTGAAAATGTTTGTCGGGATTTGAAAATTTTCCTGTCAGTGGAAAATTCTATATTTTTCCTAACTCCTATCTCTACCCGTTTTGTAAATGATGAGGGACCATTTTGAAATGATCAAGTGTTGGAACATTTCTCAATTTTACAATACAATCTGCCTTTTCCCTCAACATTGGGAAGACCTTCCGAGTAAACTTCGATGAACTGAAATATATCCCCGAAGATGTGAAAAGATAATTTCCAATTTAAAGGGGTGAAAGTCAAGTAATATTTTATTCATTTGAAAATGTTCATACTTTTGCGAAAGACGAATTAGCTCAGGAAAAATCCGCGAAGGGCCGCATTTGCTCCAATATTGTATTGACCGCAAGTCATCAATAAATAACGCGATGATTTTTAAAGTAGTAAATCATCAAAATATGTTTAGTTGGCAATCTACTGCCTGATGTTTATTACAAGTCAAGCAAATTCTTCCCGAGTTTCAGGGATTATTTGCGAAAAGTTCACTGATCAGTTTACAAATTCCCATCTATATCCCGAATAGAAAAGAGCATTCCTGCAAAAACATTCAGAATTCTTAAATTCGTAAGTTTCTTAAATTCTTCAGAAAATATATGAAATCCCACATTCGCATAAATCTGATGACAGTGCTGGAAAAAAAAATCCTGCAACTCAAAACCCTCGATATCTGCCAAATTACTGATAACACAACTTTGAAATTTCAGGTCTTTTTCCTGATCGCGGCCATCGTGGCCATCGTCGTCGCCCAAAGTGACGACTCTGACCTCGGTGCTGGTTCATCAGGTGCCCTGGATGACCTGGTCGGGTCAGAGTACAGAAGACGAGGAGGTTACGGAGGTTATGGCTACGGCCGCGGTCGTGGCGGCTACGGGTACGGCGGAGGGTAAATACAACTTATTTTTTAAACCCCCTTTTCTTCGACCTGCAACTCAAAATTTATTCCAATTTTCTATTCAAACTATAATACAGACAATTCAAATGAGAGATAAAATTCCGAGCGTCGCATTTTTTCATCCAACTGGCTAACCGATGATTAACATATAATGGATATGTAAATTTTCATTCTCTTTCATTCTTTGACTAGAGATTCATGAATTTGAAAAGTTAAAAACAGACAGAAATCGACTTGATGGAGGAGAATGAGAGGTCTTTTCTACAGCTTCATTAGTCACGAACATTTTAAACAAAATCAATTATCAATCTTTCAAAATTGCTTGTCCATAGCTGTTCGATATTTTCCTTTTTTCGCCTGAAACCATTGCCAAAAAAAAAAGAAAAAGAAATCGAAAGTAATATCGATCAGTTACAGACATCTACAACGCAGTTTGAAAGATGCTAGGGATACGATTATTCTGTTTTTGAGACGATGTAGGGATATTTTCGACCTGGTTTCGGGCTCAGTTTATGAGCCTAAAATTATGTGTAAGCGTTGGATGCCATAGAAACGAAATATTTTTCCGAGTTCATTTCTGAAATTTTCAAACTTCGGAAGCTTTTGATGATCGCACCGTTTTAAATCAATGATCAAATAAAAAAGGACCCCTATTACACACTTTTAATGTTTTTCTCGGTCTACAGTTACAGACGAGGTGGTTACGGAGGCGGTTACGGAGGCGGCTATCGTCGTGGCGGATACGGACGCGGATATGGCGGCTACTACGGTTGAAGAGCATCAATGAATCCGCAAAAAAATTAAATAAAATCATTGAACCCTTCTCCAAGCGAAGAAAAGTGAATCTCAACCTGAAAACCTCTATTCTTGATTCCGTCCGGGCAAAAAAATCTGAGAAAATATTTTTCATCTCGCCAAAGACGTAGTTTGATGTTGTTTGCACTAGCCTCTCAAACCAAAAAAAGGAAAAGAAAAAGTGCTTTTCGTGTTTGTATTGTCCAGAGAAAGGACCCTGCTTTAAGGAATGGGTCCATGGGAACTTCGTTGCGATAAGAAAGAAAAAACTTCAAGAATCGGCACTGAATTTTACACGGTGTGGGGTTTGTCTGGGTCGTGTTCTTGTTCGCTACCGCTGTTGTATTTTGTCGGGCATGTCGTCGAGTATTCTTTTGTGCTGAAAACGTACAAGAATAAAGTTTCCGAAAAGTGTAACATTTCTAAAAAAGCTCGAAGTGTTTTTATTATTTCTATGGTTCCAATTGTAAAAAAAAAGATTGTGTATACGTAGGTCTTGAATGTGCAGCACACAAAAAACTCACATAGGACGAATGGACGAAAGGAAAGATTTTCAAAAGTTTTCCGTGACTTCCAATCCGTTCTCGCACAATCGCGTTCGTAATATTACAACCAAGCAAGTCTCAAGTACCCCTGCGATATTTAGCACAACATTGAAAGACCAGCAGATACATATGGTGCTGTAATTCGAACCCTTTAAAGAATCTGAACGATTCCTTTTTTTCATGCTGGATTCCTTCTGCGTTCCTTTCAAATAAGAAAATTATCCTCGTAATTAAGAGTGGATTACGCACTATGTCATTGTAAACAAAATAATACAAATGGAACGAACATCCTAAAAAAAGTGTCCAAAAACATGCTTCAAAAATTATTGACATGGTCGGATCTTGCAGCGTTTAAAATTAAATCAATTTCAAAAGACATTCATGATCTCAATTATGGCTAAAATTAAAATCGTTGTAAAAACCGAATGCGTACATTCGCGATTTACAATGAAATGATCTTATCATAAAATAAAATATTCCCTCTGCTTTATCTGGCAGGAAGTTTTAATGAATTTTTACAGTTGCTCTATTTTCTACGTTTGAAATGAAATCAATTGTTCTTCAATCAACGGTAGCTAATCAAAACGCGTATTCGACCCTTTCACTGTATTTATTCCATGCTATTCTAATTTTGACATCGATCATCAAAAGAGGAGATCACAAGTTTTGAATCTTTATGCGCTTATCACTAATTCATTGCTGATTAAGCAGTCCGGAAAAATAAGAATCTTCCATATGTGAATCAACCTCAATTTTGTTTAGCTGGGGTTCGTCGACTGACAATGCTGAACACAGTAAATGTCACTAGCAATTTCCAGAGTTTTCAACAATGCTTAAATACTCAATCCATTGTAAAAAAAAAAAATAAATAAATAACCATTTCCTTACAACATGCAAATTACAAATCGAAATGTGTCAGAATTCTTCAGTTTCACCCACATGATCGTACCGAGTATGACGTGTGCTCGATTTAAATTCAACAATAATTTAATAAATACAAAGGATCATTCATTTCCAAAACTGGACGTCATCTATATTTTTCCCACCTGGATTCTCAGCTGCTGAATGCTTT